CCTCCAGCCTGGCTCTGCAGTGACTTTGTCCCCTCCAGCCTGGCTCTGTAGTGACTTAGTCTTACTACATGCATCTGAGAGGATCTCTCCTTATGAAGTGCTTCTCCTCCCCCCCTTCAATACACACCCTTACAGAAAAGGTTGCTTTTTAAATCTGTGTATATTAATCTGCTACGTGCCCACATGTCTATAGAAGAACAGACTATGTGTGTAGGTGTATGTGCAAATGACAGAGGTGAGTCTCCTGTCATCTGTTGGACTGGCAGTTTTTAATTTTTTTATTATCGTGTATGATATGTGTGTAAGGGGGTGTGTGCCGTGGCACGCGGAGGTCAGAGGGCAGCTCTGTGGAGTCAGTTCTCTTCCAGCATGTGGGTCCTGGGGATCAAACTCAAGCCATCAGCCTTGGTGCCCAGCTGCCCCTGAGCCATCTTGCTGGCCCCACAAAATTTTGTTGTTGTTGTTTTGTTTTTTTGAAACAGGGTTTCTCTGTAGCTTTGGAGCCTGTCCTGGAATTCATTTTGTAGACCAGGCTCACAGAGATCTGCCTGTCTCAGCCTCCCAAGTGCTGGAATCAAAGCCGGGCACCACCACTGCCCGGCCGCAAATGGGTTTTAATTGTGTAACTTTTGGAATTTTTTAATAAACTAACAAAGCACACAGGTCCTTTCATTCCTGACTTCCCTGTGTGTTCCCTGAAAAGGTGACAAGTCTGTATTTTTGTCTTAGGAATCTTTCAAAGAAATACCAACCCAAGAAGAACTCGAAGGAAGAAGAAGAATACAAGTATGTCCGCTGCTGGTGGATGTGTGGTGAGATGTGTGTGCTTGGTGGTGGTTGTGGGGGAGGGGAGGAAGTGTGTGCTCACGAAGTCCCAGCCCACCTTCCAGTCTGTGCCATTTTTCAACTTTCCGGTGACAGTGAGAACACTTCCTTTACCCACCCTGGCCCTGAGCCACTCAATCCGCTCCAGACCGGTTCCATTGAAGTAAATAAAGAGAGTTCCAGGAGGCCCTGCAAGCCTGGACAGGCAGCACGGAGTATAAGCCTCCGAGGAGGGGCTCAACCTTCTTAATGCTGCGACCCTTCAATACAGTTCCAAATGTTGTGGTGACCCCAGCCATAAAATTATTCTCATTGCTACTTCATCACTGTGATTTTGCTACTGTTGTCAATTATAATGTAAATATCTGATGTGCACTTACTGTGTGTTGAGAACCACTGTCCTAGCGTCGGTGACTCTGTCCCGTAGAGTCAGAAATCTTCATTGCTCATCCACTGTGTCTGTCTTGGCAGCGGTGACGGGACATTGTACATGGTGGAAACAGCGCCTTTGGTGTAGGTCCACGGGCCTAGTGTGTTTAGTGAGCATGGGAGGGTGGGTTTAGGACCATCTCTGGACTCAGAATGAACAGAACCAGATACTGCGTTTCACAGAACACATAGGGCTGTGTTTGTCATAATTAATTCTGAGCCGCTGTGTAATGAACTGGCAAGATCCCACGGGAGGCAGGTACAGAGCAGCCGGGTTTTAATTACTCTTTCCTCGTGGACAGTATGTGAGGAGGGAGGTGGGCTCCTCTGAGGAGAGCCGGTGTGCTCTCTCCCCAGGTACACGGCATGCAAGGCGTTTCTTTCCACCCTGAATGAGATGAACGACTATGCCGGGCAGCATGAGGTCATCTCCGAGAACATGACATCACAGATCACGGTGGACCTGATGCGCTACGTGCAGGAGCTGAAGCAGGAGAGGAAATCGGTAATGTCTTCCCCCAAAAGATGGACAGGGTGTCTTCCCATCAGATAGCCACATGGAGTTGGGGGTGGTGGCTCGCACCTGTACTGCTAGTGCTGGGGAAGCAGGGAAATTTAGTGACCACATGGGCTACACAATGAGTTCCACGCCTGCAAACTGCATAGTAAGACCCTGTCTTAAACAAAAATGGGGGTTGGGGGACAGATGTGTACTGCATGCCTTAATCTCAGCACTTGAGCAGCAGAGGAGGCAGGTGGACCTCTGTGAATTCAAGGCCAGCCTAGTCTATATGATGAGTTCTAGACCAGCCAGGGTGACATAGTGACACGCTGTCTGGGGAAAAAAAAATGGGGGCTGGAGAGAGGGTTCCTTGGTTAAGAGCACTAACTTAGGGTCTTGCAGAGGACCCAGGTTCAGTTCCCAGCACCCACATGGTGGCTCAGAGTCATCTGTAAATCCAATTCTAAGAGGTCTAAGACCTTCTTCTGACCTCCTTGGGTACAAAGCATAAATGTGGTACACATGCGTGCATTCAGGCAAAATGCTCATACACACACACACACGCACACACACACACGCACATATTTAAATTAGAATCAGGTGTGACAGTGTGCTGGGAAGGCAGAGGCCAGCAGATTGGAAATTCAAGGCCAACATGTGTGTGTGCGTGCGTGTGCATGTGTGTGTCTATTATGTGAGTATACTAATACATGTCATGATGTATGTTGAGAGGCCAGAAGACAACTTGGAGGAGTTGATTCCTTTACTAGCTGAGCTTCTTGCCTGAGCCTGTAGTTGGTGTCCTGTCAGTGGAGGCTCACAGGGCCCACTTGTTAGGCCTCTGTCGCATCCACTTAGCTGCCCACGTGTCCACAACTCCAAGATTGATAAACCAGCCGTGTGTCAGAGCCCTAAGCCTGACAACATTCTCTACCGAACCACTCACTCATCAAGGAAAGCATTTTGCTTGTTCGGTTGTGTTTTTTAAGATAGGGTTTCTTTGTATAGTTCTGGCTGTACTGGAACTCACTCTGTAGCCCAGGCTGGCCTCGAACTCAGGCATCCGCCTGCCTCTGCCTCCTGAGTGCTGCGGTTAAAGGCATGTGCCGCCACCGCCCGGCCGGTGGGGCATTGTATTTTGTGAAGCAGCTGGGAAGCAGTGGACAGAACCTTGCAGCATAAAGATAAAATAAATACAAGGGCTCTGGCGGTGGCCTGGCCTGTTGCCCTCCCTGCTTGTGAACTCGCCTTGACCTTTGCAAAGCTTTCCGTCTTCATCCTGTTTAGGGCTCTGCTGTGTTCTTGCCACTGACCCTCTCTGCCCACAGTTTAGCACTGTAGCCAGCTCCCCAAACTGAAATTGCTTTTCCCTCCTTAGCAGGTGTCCATTCCGTTGGAGGGCTGAGTCAGAAAATGGGAAGTGCCGCAAGCCGCACCCCCTCCCCCACCCCTCTCCTCCAGCTGTGTAGTTCCTGGCTGGTTTCTCTGTGCTCTGACCTCAGGGTCTTTGTGCAGGGTTTTCTCCCTCAGAAAGCCTTTGCCACACACCTCAGGGCCTGTTTCTCCGGAATGAATGTTTCCTTCTCCGAGCAGACTTTCCCATCTGCCTCACTTAAATTACCAGGTTCCTCTGGCCTCTCCCACTTCACCTTCCCTTGCTTTGCAATGTTTTGTTTTTGTTTTTTGCTTTTTGAGTCAGCAGGGTTTCTGCTTATAACCACTGTAGCTGTCTGGACCTCACTATATAGACCAGATGGCCTCACAGATATCTGCCTCCTCAGCCTCTGAGTGCTGGAATTAAAGGTATGCGCCACCATGTCTACAGTTTTGGCAAGTTTTTAAAGAGAGAGACAGTTGGTTTGTATGTATACCACATGTGTTCAGATGCCCCCTGAAACCAGAGGAAGGAATCTGCTCCCCTAGAAACTGGAGCTAACAGACTGTTGTGAGCTGAGCCACCCAACATGGGCACTGAGAACTAAACTCAGGTCCTCTGTGAGAGCATCCAGCACTCTTAACTTCTGAGCCATCTCTCCAGTTCCCAGCTTTACTCTTTGCACACTACTTAACAGTATCTAGATTTGGGGGGTGGGGTATCTAGTTGACAGGACCTTGTGCATACTGATCACACACACCCCCACTAGCCCCTGCCCCCACAGCAGCATGAGGTGTAATTGCTGCTATCTTTTCTCCTCCCTCATGAGGAGGAGACATTCCCTCAGTGGAAATGTCTGGTCTTCTAGGACAAGGACATCCTTGCCCACCTCATGGGTCAGCATTGCAGAAGGCGGGTGTGCAAGAAGTGCCGGGCAGAGAGAAGAGTAGCAACAGCTGGGAAGTAGCGGGTGTGCCCAGGGCTGGGAGTGGCGTGCAATGGAGAGCACTTTCCTTTCACCAGTGAGGGACGGGGTGAGGCTCAGTGGTGCACACTTGCCTCCCCTGTACAGAGCACTGGCTTCCATCCCCAGTGCATGCACACACTGCACATGCACACACAAATACACACACACACACACACACACACACACGGTGTGTTAATGTCTACTTTAGTTCCAAGAGTTTATAGATAAGGACCTTCATACGCCTTTGCTACCTTGTAAATGGATTATATTATTTACTCATTGTTAATTATCTTTTTATACACCGTTATATCATCTCTTAAATCATGTTCCTTAAAAAGTTTTTGTTGTTGTTGTTGTTTAAGATTTATTTATTTTAAGAAGGCGTTGGTGGCCCACACCTTTAATTCCAGAACTTGGGAGTTAGAGGCAGGTGATCTCTCAAGTTTGAGGCCAGCCTGGTCTACAGAGCAAGTTTCAGGATAGCCAGGGCTACACAGAAAAACCCCATCTCAAAAAAAAAAAAAAAAAAGATTTATTTAATTTTATGTGTATGAGTGTTTTGCCTGCCTGTGTTTATGTACCTGGTCCCCAAAGTGGTCTGAAGAGGATACAGGATCCCCTGGAGCAGAAATCACAGGCTGAGCTACCACGTGGTGCTGGGAACTGAACCTGTCTCCTCTGCAAAAGCAGCCAGTGCTCTTACCCTCTGAAGCCTCCGTTTGTGTTTAAGGAGTGTCCCCAGTCCCTAGTCCAGGCCTGGGAGTCACGGTCTGTCAGGAGGCTCTGCAAACACAACTCTATTTGTTGAAACCGGCTGCAGTTAAATTAGACTGACATTTAAGTACGTTGCGAAATCTCAAGAAATACTGGAAAGAGTGTCTGTCAACAAATACATATTTGTGGTGTTTTCATGTGTGGTGTCGTGATGTCATCTCTTCTTTCCTATAGCTTAGCTACCATGCTTCTGAAGGAATGCATAGCTCCGTGTGGTCACACAGGCTCTTAATCCGAGCATTAGGGGCGGCGGGGGGCGGGGATTTGAAGCAGGAGGATTACAGAATGGAGGATGGAACTGAATACTTAGCAAGACGCTGCCTCAAAAAGTGTGTGTATGTGAGAGAGAGAGAGAGAGAGAGAGAGAGAGAGAGAGAGAGAGAGTCAGAGACAGAGAGAGCCCAAGACAACTCAGTAGATAAGACTTTATCCCTCAGTCCTGATGTTTGGTCTCTAAGGCTCACATTGTGGAAGAAGAGAACAGTCTCCTACATGTTGTCCTCTGACCTCCACACACAGGATGTGCACACACACACGGATACAAAATAAATTTAAAAAATAGAATAAAAAAGGCAATGCTATGGAACTTGCTTGGGAGAGAAAGGAAAGAAGATCATGAACTCAAGATCTTCCTTGGCTGCACAGTGAGTTTGCTGCCAGCTTGGGCTGCAAGAGATTCTGGCTCAAAAACAGCGGGCTGTGGTGGTGCACACCTCTAGTCCCAGCACTCGGGAGCCAGAGGCAGGCCAGTCTCCGTGAGTTTGAGGCCAGCCTGGTCTACATGGAAAGTTTCAAGACAGCCAGGGCTACATAGTGAGATCAAAAAGTTGAAAGGGTTGCATCCTCTGGGTTTGTTGGTAAACTGATCGTTTGGGAGGTTGATTAGCTCTGTACTCACTTTTAGAGCAGTAACTGACTTTGGCTGTGACCTCGGGCTAACCCTCCCAGTGTGAGGTCTGTGATGTTATCCGATGCTCGGGAGCCTGGAGCATAGGAAGGTGGTGCGGGTCTGTGGGGTCACACAAGGTCCAGCTGGGGGTGACACCCAGGCAACCTGGACCTCAGGGCTAAGCATGGCTGCCCGCATGCTTTGATTTCATTAGTGGTTTTCCTAGCTTACCCGCAAGGCCACTGGTTGCACGGTGCAGCCACTGCCTGCAGACCTTCTTCTCCAGGTCCCTGCGTTTCCTTAGTGGCACAGGTCAGAGGATATCGTTTCCTGGTTTCTGCTATGCTCAGAACAAGGCCCCACAGACACTTCAGTCTGTCTTAGAGGCGGGATGGCGCCAGTTTGTAGGGCTCTGCTGGTGGGAAGACAGCATCCTGGAGTCTGTTCTCTCCTTCCACTTTGTGTAGATACAGCGATTGAAGTAGGGCTCCCGGTTTGTGCAGCAGTCATCTTTAACGTGCTGGCTGAGCCATCTCAATGTACCGTAGTTTACACCCTCGGTTCTCTTAGTTGTTTTCTGTGCATCCTCTGAAAAACAGATTGCTTCAATAATCAGATCTTTCTGTTCTAGCCATTCATTCATAAACAAATGTATAGCTTCTTTTCTGAGGTGTGTGTCCGGCCCAGTTTGTTTATTGCTTAAGTGCTTTTTATTGTTTTGCTGTTTGTAGCTTACTGGTTTTGACTGGTTTAGATTAGTTAAACTATTCAATATTCAGCTCTTTTTAGCCTGAGACAGGGTTTTGCTATGTTCTGTGCTATCCTGGAATCCTTGACGTGGTTGATGCTGGCTTTGAAGAACTGAGGCTCTAAATGGATAGCGGGCTTGTCCTACTGCTCCTGGGTTAGCAGGCTTGTCCCACTGCACCTGGGTTAGCAGGCTTGTCCCACTGCACCTGGGTTAGCAGGCTTGTCCCACTGCACCTGAGTTAGCGGGC